GATGGGAAGTACAGTGCCTGCACTCTGAAGGAGGGGTGTTAATGTTGCAGTTTAAAAACTGTAGTGTAAAGCACCCTTCTGGCAAGACAGTGATGGAGTGAATGATGGTGAAAGTTTTTCTTTTTCGGGCCACCCTGCCTTGGTGGGAATCGGCCAGTGTGATAATAAAAAAAAAAATAAAGTATGGAGGGGCAGTATCAACATTACTATGTGTAATCGGGTAAGGAGGAAACTTTAATAATAATAATATAGGTAGTAGGTTGGTAGACAGCAACCACCCATGTAGGTACTACCGTCCTGCCAAGTGAGTGTAAAACGAAAGCCTGTAATTGTTTTACATGATTGTAGGATTGCTGGTGTCCTTTTTTCTGTCTCATAAACATGCAAGATTTCAGGTATGTCTTGCTACTTCTACTTACACTTAGGTCACACTACACATACATGTACAAGCATTTATATACACATCCCTCTGGGTTTTCTTCTATTTTCCTTCTAGTTCTTGTTTTTATTTATTTCCTCTTATCTCCATCGGGAAGTGGAACAGAATTCTTCCTCCGTAAGCCATGTGTGTTGTAAGAGGCGACTAAAATGCCGGGAGCAAGGGGCTAGTAACCCCTTCTCCTGTATAAATTACTAAATTTAAAAAGAGAAACTTTCGTTTTTCTTTTTGGGCCACCCTGCCTTGGTGGGATACGGCCAGTTTGTCGAGAAGAACAAGAAGAAAAAAAAAAAGTTTACAGAGTATACCAGGTAAAGTGTACGGTAGGGTTAATATTGAAAGAATTAGAGGTAAGACAGGATTGCAGATGAGCAAGGAGGCTTTAGAGTGGGTAGGGGATGTGTAGATCAAGTGTTTACACTGAAGCATATACAGTGGACCCCCGCTTAACGATCACCTCCCAATGCGACCAATTATGTAAGTGTATTTATGTAAGTGCGTTTGGACGTGTATGTTTGGGGGTCTGAAATGGACTAATCAAGTTCACAATATTCCTTATGGGAAAAAAATCGGTCAGTACTGGCACCTGAACATACTTCTGGAATGAAAAAATATCGTTAATCGGGGGTCCACTGTATGTGAACAGTATATAGATAAGGGTAGGGAATTTTCATTGCATTTATGGATTTAGAAAAGGCATATGATAGAGTGGATAGGGGAGCAATGTGGCAGATGTTGCAGGTACGTACATGGAATACGTAGTAAGTTATTAAATGCTGTAAAGAGCTTTTATGAGGATAGTGAGGTCCAGGTTAGAGAGTGTAGGAGAGGGAGGTTACTTTCCAGTAAAAGTAGGTCTTAGACAAAAATGTGTAATGTCACCATGGCTGTTTAATATATTTATAGATGGGGTTGTAAAAGAAGTAAATGGTAGGGTGTTGGGGAGAGGGGTGGGATTAAATTATGGATAATCAAATACAAAATGGGAGTTGACACAGTTACTTTTTGCTGATGATACTGCACTTGTGGGAGATTCTAAAGAAAAGTTACAAAGGTTAGTGGATGAGTCTGGGAGGGTGTGTAAAGGTAGAAAGTGAACATAGATAAGAGTAAGGTGATGAGGGTATCAAATGATTTAGATAAAGAAAAATTGGATATCACATTGGAGATAAGGAGCATGGAAGAAGTGAATGTTTTCAGATACTTGGGAGTTGACTTGTCAGCAAATGGGTTTATGAAGGATGAGATTAACCATAGAACTGATGAAGGAAAAAAGCCGAGTGGTGTATTGAGGTACATGTGGAGACAAAAAAAGTTATCCATGGAGGCAAAGAAGGGAATGTACTAGGCGGTTTGGTCATTTAGAGAGAATGGATCAAAGTAGAATGAATTGGAGAGCGTATAAATCTGTAGGGGAAGGAAAGCGGGGTAGGGGTCATCCTCGAAAAGGTTGGAGGGAGGAGGTAAAGGAGGTTTTGTGGGTGAGGGGCTTGGAGTTCCAGTAAGCATGTGTGAGCATGTTAGATACGAGTGAATGGAGACGAATGGTTTTTGGGACCTGACGAACTGTTGGAGTGTGATCAGGGTAATATTTAGTGAAATGATTCAGGGGAAACCGGTTATTTTTATATAGCCGGACTTGAGAACTGGAAATGGGAAGTACAATGCCTGCACTTTAAAGGAGGGTTTTGGCATATTGGCAGGTTGGAGGGGTATGCTATACAGTGGATTCTCAAATATTGAACTGCTCCCAACTCGACCAATTATGTAAGTGTATTTTTGTAAGTGCTTTTATAAGTGTATTTTTGAGGGTCTGAAATGAACTAATCTAATTTACGTTATTCCTGATGGGAATAAATTCGTTTGGTAACAGCACTCGAACAGCCGTCTGGAACAAAGAATGTTCGATATTTGAGGCTCCACTGTATATACAGTAAGGCCCCGCTTCACGGCGTTTTGCCTTACGGCGTTCCACTCATACGGCAATGTCAAATTATGACCAAAATTTGCTATACGGCAAGCGGTCTTTTAAATACGGCGCCCCCCACCCGGTTTGTTTACATTTTCCGTGACCACATCTATTATGTCAGGAAACTTTCCAAAATTTCAAGTGTTTTAAAGTTACTGCATATTTTATATGTACTCTGATAATTATACTTATGTGTACCTGTACCTAAATATACTTACACACTGTGCTGGTGTGCAGGTACACACTAAAATCGCTAAGTCTCTCTCTACTCATGACGCCAATACTACATAATAATAATCACTCTTGTCTTATTTTACATCAATATAGGCATTTTCATTAATCCATCTATGATATTTTCCTCAAAATTATATATGAAACCCATTACATAGCATATAAACATGATATATACACACAAAATAAAAATTGATGTAAATATGAGATTTGTTTACAAAGCAGCTGTGTAGGCGGTGTCGGAAGAATTACGTTTTCTCTAGTCAAACACTGGGGGGTAACTGTAGAAAAATATTCTTTTCGTATGCCTTTACTCTATGTATAGCAATTCACGACCCTTGTGGGTTTAGTGCTTTTTATAATAAATAATAATAATACTAATTATTATTATTATTAATATTATTATTATTATTAATAATAATAATAATAATAATAATAATATTATTATCTTCATTCACTCTAAAAATGGTGTGTTGCTATTTGTTTATTCTGAACTAACTTGTACAACTTGTACACAATGTAAAAGTATTTGTATTGTGAGGTAATTATTATTAAAATTAAAAAATATTGAGGTAAATGTTTTACAAACTCTTACAAATGGACGTGAATGAACTAAAAGTAGACACATATTAATACGCATTTATTTCACCTGACCAAGTGATCGTCCACTACCTATTCAGTTTGTGTTCTTACATTGTCTCAACTCTGTATCTCGTTCTCTCTCTCGTTTACTCTTTTGTTAACTAGTTGGCTCTCATTGACGATGGTGTCTAAGGTTAGCTGTGATAAAAAGAAGTCATAAGCCTCTTGCTTTAAGTGCCAAGTTAGAGGATGATGGTGTGCCATTCTGATTTTATTCAATAAACACCCTGCCACTCACCTCTCACACATTAATATTAATATTTTAAGTAGTAATAAGTGTACTCTGTGTGTATCTTACCTTTTATTGTGTTTTTAATGCCTATTTCTATTGCTAACTTAATATAAGTTAGTGTAAACTTGTTGTCTGGCATTTATTGCATATTTTATATGCTCTGATAATAATACTTGTGGAGCCGGGTGGAGGGACAACATTACGTTTTCTCTGCTCAGCCATCAGAGAAAACGTGTATGAATCTGCGTTTGGCCCAGCCACTCCCCCACTCTGCTTTTGTTTACAATTTTCGGCATGAATTATTCATTACTTCTACCTTCGTTTATGATGGCATCTAAAGGTAGTTGTTAGAAATGATTAAATTCAGTGAACAAGGTATGTCGATGTTAATAATATGGCTCTGGGCCACAGTGTAGGTAGCCAGTAGGTGTAGCCCAGGCGGGCTACACCTACCAGCTACCTACACTGACTTCCTACAAATAAATACTAATCACCTCTCTTCTTATATTAAGACTACACATATTTTAAGGTAAATAATGAGTGTACTGTATGTGTATTTTACCTCTCTGGGATGTTTTAAATATTGTGTATTAAGTATGAGACGGGGAGCCAGTGCTACCTACACCTGGGCTACCTGCACCTGACTTCCTACAAATAAGTACTACTCACCTCTCTCACTACATTAAGATTACAAATACTTTAAGATAAGTAATGAATTTACTGTGACTGTGTGTTTTTAATGCCTAGTTCTATTACTAACTTAATATAATTTAGTGTAAACTTGTTGTCGGCATTTATAAAGGGATTTTTTAAATGGAAAAAAAAGGGGTTCTGCCCTTTCCCGCATGTTGCTTTCCCGGGAACAGCCTGGAAAACCCAACCCCCCGTTAATGGGGCCCTACTGTACTTTTCCAAAAAAGTTGTAAAACTGGGCCCCCTCTGTAAAGACAGTGATTATGGTGAGTGAGGTGAAAGTGTTAAATGGGTTATGAAGGTATTTTTTTTTGGGTCCCCCCTGCCTCATGGAAAATGGGCCGACATGTTAAAAAAAAAAAAAAAAAACCCAATTTGGGGGGGGAACAGAATTCCTTTCCCCTAAGCCATGGGATGGGCTAAGAGGCAACTAAAAAGCCCGGGGGCAAGGGGGGTAGTAACCTCTTTTCCTATATACATAACTAAATTTTAATGAGAAACTTTCGTTTTTCCTTTTTAAAACACCCTGCCTCGGGGGGATATGACTGGCCCTTTTTGAAAAAAAAAAAAAAAAGATGTCAAGCAAAATGAAAAATTCAAAATTTTACCCCACAGTATTTTGAACAGAGAAAAACAATTGGAGAAGCACTGCAAAAATTAACAAAAATTCAAATTTTTTCGTTAAAAAGAAGAAATGTTTACATAAAACTGAATTTATTTATTGGGAAAAAAAAGAACTTTTTTTTTTGCATTTAAAAACCAAAAGTAAACCCTCACAGGCACAGAGTTTGCTGAAAAATCCTATAAATACAGTGTTATAGCAACTGTTCTTGTATTATACTATCAACGATGAAATTCACTGGGACATCAGAAGCCACTGTTACTGTAGGTGTGTGTTCACTGCGGCAAAATGGACATCTCAGGGAGCCTCTTATCAGAGTTTCATTAATGCATTTTGTGCAGAAGGTATGACCACAGCTCAGGGAACGTGGGCGCCTTTCGTTATTGTTGTAGCATTCAAGACAAACCTGACATTCAAACTTTACCTGTTGGTTAAAATACAATACATCAATGTCTTTCAACACACTATATTCTAAGTACAGCCTCTCCTCACTTAATGAAAGAGTCACGTTAGGAAGACCATGTCGGTAAACAAATTTGTCGCTAAGCAAGGAGCATACTATAATGGAAGCGGGTTTGTGTCAACCATCTCTGATATTGTTTTAATGTCACCTTTGCAACCACCCAGGGGGGTATACTACCGTCCTCCTAAGTGAGTGTGAAACGAAAGCCTGTAATTGTTTTAAATGATGGTAGGATTACTGGTGTCCTTTTTTCTGTCTCATAAACATGCAAGATTTCAGGTACATCTTGCTACTTCTACTTACACTTAGGTCATGCTACACATACATGTACAAGCATATATATACACACACACCCCTCTGGGTTTTCTGCTATTTTCTTTCTAGTTCTTGTTCTTCTTTATTTCATCTTATCTCCATGGGGAAGTGGAACAGAATTCTTCCTCCGTAAGCTATGCGTGTTGTAAGAGGCAACTAAAATGCCGGGAGCAAGGGGTTAGTAACCCCTTCTCCTGTATAAATTACTAAATTTAAAAAGAAAAACTTTTTTTTTTTTGGGGCCACCCTCCCTCGGGGGGATACACCGGTTTTTTTGAAAAAAGAAAAAGTCACCTTTGTCCCCCATTTTTTAAACATTTTTGAATTTTTTTTAAATGTTTTATACATTATGTACTGTATGTGGTAATAAACAAATAAGAAAATAGCTCTAATATACATTATTTGGGTAGCAACTGGTCAAGAGCCCATCAAAGTCCAAGTCATCGGTAAACGCTACAATGTGAGGAGAGCGTATTTGTTTTAAAGTACCGAAATCATAACAAAAAGTCATAAGCAATATCATGTACCACTGGGGGGTTACTGGCATTATGCAAATGTCAGGCCACCAAAAAGTGGGCCCAACCCAAACCATACGATTTTCAAAATTACTTTTCATCAGTACACTATGAAATAATTATGTACTTTTTAAACTTTTAAAAATGAATCTGCAGATTTTTTTTTTAACAAACTTGCCATGTCCCACCAGGCGGTTTTCCAAAAAAAAAGAAAACCCCAAAAAAAAAAAATCTTTTATCTATTTAACACTTTCACCTCACTCATATATAATCCTGTTTTTGCAGAGGTGCCCAAACACAACAGTTTAGAAGATATACGTATAAAGATACACAACATATCCCTCCAAACTGCCAATATCCCAAACCCCTCCTTTAAAGTGCAGGCATTGTACTTCCCATTTCCAGTACTCAAGTCCGGCTATATAAAAATAACCGGTTTCCCTGAATCCCTTCACTAAATATTACCCAGCTCATGCTCCAACAGCTCGTCAGGTCCCAAATACCATTTGTCTCCATTCACTCCTATCTAACACGCTCATGCATGCTTGCTGGAAGTCCAAGCCCCTCGCCCACAAAAACTTCTTTACCTCCTCCCTCCAACCTTTTCGAGGACGACCTCTACCCCAGCTTCCGCCCCCTACAAATTTATACACTCTCCATGTCATTCTACTTTGATCCATTCTCTCTAAATGACCAAACCACCTCAACAACCCCTCTTCAGCCCTCTGACTAATACTTTTATTAACTCCACACCTTCTAATTTCCACACTTCGTATTCTCTGCATAATATTTACACCACACATTGCCCTTAGACAGGACATCTCCACTGCCTCTAACTGCCTCCTCACTGCAGCATTTACAACCCAAGCTTCACACCCATATAAGAGTGTTGGTACCACTATACTTTCATACATTCCCTTCTTTGCCTCCATAGATCAAGTTTATGGTCTCCACATATACCTCAATGCACCACTCGCCTTTTTTCCTTCATCACTTCTATCTGCAGATATTCAGATATTATTTTTTTTTAACACAATGACCATTTTTCACCAAGGCAGGGTGACCCAAAAAAAGAAGAAACACTTTCATCATCACTCACTCCACTGTCTTGCCAGAGGCATGCCGATACTACAGTTCAAAAACTGCAATGTATCTCCACCCCTCTTTCAGAGTGCAGGCACTATACTTTCCCACCTCCAGGACTCAAGTCCGGCTAACCAGTTTCCCCGAATCCTTTCATAAGTGTTACCTTGCTCACACTCCAACAGTACGTCAAGCCATAAAAACCATTTGCCTCAACTCACTCCTATCTAACACACTCACTCATGCTTGCTGGAACTCTAAGCTCTGTGCACATAAAACCTCCTTTACCCTATCCCTCCAACTTTACCTAGAACAACCGTTATCCTGCCTTCCTTCCACTACAGATTTATACACCCTCCAAGTTATTCTATTTTGCTCCATCCTCTCTAAATGTCCAAGCCACCTCATCAACCCCTCCTCAGCCCTCTGAATAATACTTCTGATAACTCGCTGCCCAGGGAGGTACTACCGTCCTGCCAAGTGAGTGTAAAACGGAAACCTGTAATTGTTTTACATGATGGTAGGATTGCTGGTGTCTTTTTCCTGTCTCATAAACATGCAAGATTTCAGGTACGTCTTGCTACTTCTACTTACACTTGGGTCACACTACACATACATGTACAAGCATATATATACACACACCCCTCTGGCTTTTCTTCTATTTTCTTTCTAGTTCTTGTTCTTGTTTATTTCCTCTTATCTCCATGGGGAAGTGGAACAGAATTCTTCCTCCGTAAGCCATGCGTGTTGCAAGAGGCGACTAAAATGCCAGGAGCAAGGGGCTAGTAACCCCTTCTCCTGTATATATTACTAAATGTAAAAGGAGAAACTTTCGTTTTTCCTTTTGGGACACCCTGCCTCGGTGGGATACGGCCAGTGTGTTGAAAGAAAAACAGATTGCTCTCAAACATGATATCTAGTTATTTACAACACTAAAAATTTTCAGTTAAAAATTCTTCTTTCTTTCAACAAACCGGCAGAATCCCACCAAGGTAGGGTGGCCCAAAAAGAAAAATGAAAGTTTCTCTTTAAACTTTAGTAGTGTATATAAGAGAAGGGTTTACTAACCCCTTGCTCCCAGCATTTTGGCTGCCTCTTACAACACACGTGGCTTATGGAGGAAGAATTCTGCTCCACTTCCCCGTGGAGACAGAGAGGGAATAAACAAGAACTAGTAAGAAAATAGAAGAAAACCCAGAGGGGTGTGTACATACATGTTTGTACGTGCATGTGTAGTGTGACCTAAGTGTAAGTAGAAGTAGAAAGATGTACCTAAGGTCTTTCATGCTTCTTCTTTCAACAAACTGGCCATGTCCCACAGAGGCAGGGTGGCCCCCCCCCCCACAAAAAGAAAAAAAAAACGAAAGTTTCCTTTTTAAATTTAGTAATTATACAGAAGAAGGGGTTACTAGCCCCTTGCTACTGGCATTTTAGTTGTCTCTTACAACACGCATGGCTTACGGAGGAAGAACTCTGTTCAACTTCCCCATGGAGATAAGAGAAAATAAACAAGAACAAAAACTAGTACGAAAACAGAAGAAAACCCAGAGGGGCATGTATATGTATGCTTGTACATGTATGTGTAGTGTGACCTAAGTGTAAGTAGAAGTAGTAAGACGTACCTGAAATCTTGCATGTTTATGAGACAGAAAAAAGACAGCAATCCTACCATTATGTAAAACAATTACAGGTTTCCGTTTTACACTCACTTAGCAGGATGGTAGTACCTCCCTGGATGGCTGCTATATACCAACCTACTACCCACCAGTTAAAAATTAGGTTTACTAATATCCAAAAAAAAAAAAAAAAAAAATCAAATGCTGTAAAGAACAACAAGGAAAGAAGGAAGAATATACAACATATACAACCACCTTCAAATGCTCTAATAGTGTGATCAAAATAAAAAAAAAATCCACAATTAAGACAATCTCACCTATCTTTCATAGCCATACATTTGTTATGTAACTGAGAAGGATCTCTGTGTATAGTAACATGTAAATGGCTCAACACTGGAAATAGATTTTCTTCAAATACTCACTTTAAAAACTTTTAAACATGTATGAAACCATTATGAAAAGCTTAGACAATTATTATACGTATTTATTTTATCAACACATCGGCTGTTTCCCACTAAGGCAGGGTGACCCGGAAAAGAAAAACTTTCATCATTTACTCCATCACTGTCTTGCCAGAGGTGTGCTTACACTACAGTTATAAAACTGCAACATTAACACCCCTCCTTCAGAGTGCAGACACTGTACTTCCCATCTCCAGGACTCAAGTCCAGCCTGCTGGTTTCCCTGAATCCCTTCATTAATGTTACCCTGCTCACACTCCAACAGCACGTCAAGTCCTAAAAAGCATTTGTCTCCACTCCTATCAAATACGCTCACGCACGCTTGCTGGAAGTCCTAGCCCCTCACACACAAAACTTCCTTTACCCCCTCCCTCCAACTTTTTCTAGGCTGACCCCTACCCCACCTTTGAGAGTTATACACTCTCAAAGTTATTCTATTTTGTTCCATTCTCTCTACATGTCTGAACCACCTCAATAACCCTTCCTCAGCTCTCTGGATAAGAGTTTTGGTAACCCCGCACCTCCTCCTAATTTCCAAACTATGAATTCTCTGCATTATATTCACACCACACATTGCCCTCATACATGACATCTCCAGTGCCTCCAGCCTTCTCTTTGTTGCAACATTCACCACCCATGCTTCATACCCATATAAGAGTGTTGGTATAGCTATACTTTCATACATTCCCCTTTTTGCTTCCATGAACAAAGTTCTTTGTCTCCACAGACTCCTAAGTGCACCACTCACCCTTTTCCCCTCATCAATTCTATGATTCACCTCATCATTCACAGACCCATCTGCTGACATGCCCACTCCCAAATATCTGAATACATTCACCTCCTCCACACTCTCTCCCTCCAATTTGATATCCAATCTTTTGTTACCTAATTTTTTTATCCTCGTCACTTTACCCTTTCCTATATTCACTCTTAATTTTCTTCTTTCACATGCTCTACCAAACTCATCCACCAACCTCTGCAACTTCTCTTCCAAATCTCCCAAAAGCACAGTGTCATCAGCAAAGAGCAACTGTGACAACTCCCACTTTATGTTAGATTCTTCATCTTTTAACCCCACAACTCTTGCCAACACCCACACAGTCACTTCTCTTACAACCCCATCTATAAATATATTGAACAACCATGGTGACATCACACATCCTTGTCTAAGTTCTACTTTTAATGGGAAATAATCTCCCTTTCTCCTACATACTCTAACCTGAGCCTCACTATCTTCATAAAAACTCATCACTGCTTTCAGTAACCTACCTCCTATTCCATACACCTGCAACATCTGCTACACTGCCCCCCTATCCACCATGTAATATGCCTTTTCCAAATTCATAAATGCCACAAAAACCTCTTTACCCTTATACAGTGGTCCCTCGCTTTTCGTAGTTCTCGGCAATCGTAAATTTCGGAAATCATAGGGATATTTTCGTATAAACACGGGCTCGCTTTCCATAGGTTGACTCGCAAGTCGTAGTTCGTCCGGGACGCGTACCCACGGCGTGAGCCGTGGTGGCAGCCAGTCTGGCATTGTTTACCAGTGAGCGAAGGTCACCTCACGTGCTCCAGCAAAATATTTCATAATATTCCATTTATTTTAGTGCTTGCAAGTACTAAATAAGCTACCATGGCTCCAAAGAAAGCTCCTAGTGCCAAGCCTGTGGTAAAGAAGGTGAGAACTACGATTGAATTTAAGAAAAACATCATTGAACAATATGAAAGTGGTACAAGTGTGGCCGAACTGGCCATTATGTATAAGAAACCCTACACAACCTTATGTTCCATAGTGGCCAAGAAAAAGGAAATCAAGGATGCTGTTGTTGCAAATATGCTGACAAAAATGAGATCACCAGTACTCGAAGAGGTTGAGAAGTTATTACTGGTGTGGATAAATGAGAAATAATTAGCAGGAGATACTCTTATGACTTCGATTATTTGTGAAAAGGCTAGGCAGTTGCATGACGATTTGGTAAAGAAATTGCCTGCAACTAGTGGTGATGTGAGTGAATTTAAGGCCAGCAAAGGCTGGTTTGAGAGATTTAAGAACCGTACTGGCATACACAGTGTGGTAAGGCATGGTGAGGCTGCCAGTTCGGACCACAAGGCAGCTGAAAAATATGTGCATGAATTCAAGGAGTACATAGAGGCTGAAGGACTGAAACCTGAACAAGTGTTCAATTGTGACGAAACAGGCCTCTTTTGGAAGAAAATGCCAAAGAGGACCTTCATTACACAGGAGGAAAAGGCAATGCCAGGACACAAGCCTATGAAAGACAGGCTGACGCTAATGTTCTGTGCTAATGCTAGTGGGGATTTCAAAGTGAAGCCATTACTAGTGTACCATTCTGAAAATCCCAGAGTGTTCAGGAAAAACAATGTTATGAAGAGTAAATTGTGTGTGTTTTGGAAATCTAATAGTAAGTTATGGGTCACGAGGGAAATTTTCGTTGAGTGGTTCAATGAAGTGTTTGGCCCTAGTGTGAAGGAGTATCTCCTGGAAAAGAAATTGGATCTCAAGTGCCTGCTAGTAATGGACAATGCACCTGCTCATCCTCCAAACTTGGATGACCTAATTTTCGAGGAGTTTGGGTTCATCACAGTAAAGTTCTTGCCCCTGAATATCACTCCTCTCCTCCAGCCCATGGACCAGCAGGTCATTGCAAACTTTAAAAAACTCTACACAAAAGCAATGTTTCACAGGTGCTTGACTGTGACCACAGACACTCACTTGACCCTAAGGGAATTTTGGAGAGAACACTTAAGCATCCTCCATTGCATAACCCTTATAGGTATGGCTTGGGAGGGAGTGACTACCAGGACTTTGAACTCTGCCTGGAGAAAACTGTGGCCAGATTGTGTCGACAAGAGGGATTTTGAAGGGTTTGGGACTGACCCTGATGAGCCTATGTCTGTTGTAAAATCAATTGTGGCACTGGGGAGTTCCATGGGGTTGGATGTGAGTTAGGAGGATGTGAAAGAATTGGTGGAAGACCACAACGAAGAGCTCACCACTGAGGAGCTGCAAGAGCTTCAGCAGGAACAGCAACAGATGGCAGCTCAGAATCTTGCTGCAGAGGAGGAGGAAGAGAGATGGAAGAAGGTGCCTTCTTCAGAAATTAAAGAGATTTTTACTATGTGGGGTAAGATGGAAAGCTTTATGGAGAAACATCACCCTAACAAGGTTGTTGCAAGCCATGTTGGCAACATGTACAGTGACAAAGTCTTGGGCCATTTTAGGGAAGTGTTAAAGAGACACCAGAAACAGAGCTCTCTGGACAGTTATTTTGCAAGACAGGACTCCAGTGACTCTCAAGGTGGCCCTAGTGGCATTAAGAAACAGAGAAGAGAAGCAACCCCAGAAAAGCAAATGGTACCTGAGATGTTGATGGAAGGGGATTCCCCTTCCAAACTATAAACAATCCACTCTCTCTCCTCCTCCAGTCTCCCATACACTAAGAAGAATCTCCAATAAAGGTAAGTGTTATGCTATTAATGTTTCATCCATCATTTCCCATTGTATTGTTTATGTACTACATGTATATTTCATGTAAAAATTTTTTTTGTTTTAATACTTCTGGGTGTCAGGAACGGATTAATTGTATTTACATTTTTTCTTATGGAGAATATTGATTCGCAAATCGTAAATTTCGTTTATAGTAGCTCCTCCAGGAACGGATTAATTACGAAAAACGAGGGACCACTGTACTCCATAACTCCGAAGATTCATTTATTTTGCACCTTAGCATCATTACAAAGTACAGTGGAACCTCAAAAATTGAACGTATCACATATCGAACGTTTCAAAAATAAGACTATTTTTTCGGACAGTGTCCCTATTATCGAACGCGCCCCTATTTTCGGTCCGCCGGGTATGTGACCTGTCCACTGGCCCACTCTGTCCGCGTCCTGCGCAGGCGCCGTGAGCAGTCTAGCTTTGTTTATGCTTGAGTGAACACTAACCTGCGATCTCACACATTTTACGATTATTTAATTGTGTTTAGTGCTTGTGGGGCTGTGAAATAAGCTGCCATGGGCCCAAAGAAACTTGCTAGCGGTATCCTTTTGGTAAAGAAAGTGAGAAACACCATAGATGTGAAGAAGGAAATAATACAGAAGTATGAGATTGGAGTGAGACTTGTTGAGCTTGCCAGGATGTACAGAGGACTGTGGACAGTTATTTTGTGAGACTGGGGTCCAATGACTCTCAAGCTGGTCCTAGTGGCATTAAAATCTTCAATAAAGGTAAGTAAAAATGTTATTTTATATTACTATACATAATTAAAGACTATAGCATTTGTTGTGTGTATGTGTATGTAAAACTGTAATTAATCTCTATAAAATATTTTTTTGTGTGTGAATATTTTTGGGTTTCTGGAACGGATTAATTGTATTTCCATTATTTCTTATGGGAAATATTGCTTCGAATTTCAGACTTTTCGAATTTAGAACTAGCTCCTGGAATGGATTAAGTTCGAAATTTGAGGTTCCACTGTACTATAGTTGTATACATATATGGTGCCTATTATTTTATGCAAGTAATTATGAAAATCCCAATACCACAAAAATGGAAGAATTTTATGAAAAGGCATAAGTGGTACAGTATAACTATTGTATGGCAAGGTACTGTTATATATAAGCTATACCATTCAGAAAATATACAACAGAAAGGAATATAATGATCAACTGAAAGTACTATACAATAACAATTAAAATTAATTTTAATACCTGGTACATACTGATACTTACATCAAGGTATCCTTTAGCTTTGACAAGTGATTTTTTCTCTGCAAATTTTTCAGGTGCTGGCATCTGAAAGTAAGCACAGCTATATACTTTATGCACACATCATGAGAGATACCCAATGCTCTTTTCACCCAACCTGCCCTAACTACATACTTGTTTGTCAAGATATAAAAAACACTCATCCAGCCATTTAAGGGAAGACATTCTTTTCTGCCCTTTCAGGCAAAAATTATAAGTTTTTAACTATTCCATTTTTATATAATTAAAATTATCCTTTAAGAAACAATAAAAATAAATAATTTAGAAACACATTTCCAGATACAGGTAAACCCCATTATTCCTCATTCCCAAGATTCGGTGTTTCTTAGTCTTCCATTGTCTTTTTCGTTTGATGCATATTACAAAAACACCAACTGGCCTTCCATTAGTGTCATAATATAAGAGTTCGGGATACTAAATAAAAATTAAAATAAATTATCTTTAATATTATATAAAAACAATCTTAGGTCTAGAGGTATTCTGTAAATGTTAACGTCTGATAATATACACATACATGTTACAATAATAAATTATTAGCATCTTTGTACAACAAATCCTAAAATAATAAATTATAATTCATAGGGGGGCAATGTGGCAGATGTTGCAGGTGTATGGTGTAGGAAGTAGGTTACTGAAAGCAGTGAAGAGTCTTTATGAGGATAGTGAGGCTCAAGTTAGAGTATGTAGGAAAGAGGGGAAATTATTTCCCAGTAAAAGTAGGCCTTAGATAAGGATGTGTGATGTCACCGTGGTTGTTTAATATGTTTATAGATGGGGTTTTAAGAGAAGTAAATGCGAGGGTCTTGGCAAGAGGCGTGGAGTTAAAAGATAAAGAATCACACATAAAGTGGGAGTTGTCACAGTTGCTCTTTGCTGATGACACTGTGCTCTTGGGAGATTCTGAAGAGAAGTTGCAGAGATTGGTGGATGAATTTGGTAGGGTATGCAAAAGAAGAAAATTAAAAGTGAATACAGGAAAGAGTAAGGTTATGAGGATAACAAAAAGATTAGGTGATGAAAGATTGGATATCAGATGGGAGGGAGAGAGTATGGAGGAGGTGAATGTATTCAGATATTTGGGAGTGGACGTGTCAGCGGATGGGTCTATGAAAGATGAGGTGAATCATAGAATTGATGAGGGGAAAAGGGTGAGTGGTGCACTTAGGAGTTTGTGGAGACAAAGAACTTTGTCCTTGGAGGCAAAGAGGGGAATGTATGAGAGTATAGTTTTACCAACGCTCTTATATGGGTGTGAAGCATGGGTGATGAATGTTGCAGCGAGGAGAAGGCTGGAGGCAGTGGAGATGTCATGTCTGAGGGCAATGTGTGGTGTGAATATAATGCAGAGAATTCGTAGATTTGGAAGTTAGGAGGAGGTGCAGGATTACCAAAACTGTTGTCCAGAGGGCTGAGGAAGGGTTGTTGAGGTGGTTCGGACATGTAGAGAGAATGGAGCGAAACAGAATGACTTCAAGAGTGTATCAGTCTGTAGTGGAAGGAAGGTGGGGTAGGGGTCGGCCTAGGAAAGGTTGGATGGAGGGGGTAAAGGAGGTTTTGTGTGCGAGGGGCTTGGACTTCTAGCAGGCATGCGTGAGCGTGTTTGATAGGAGTGAATGGAGACAAATGGTTTTTAATACTTGACGTGCTGTTGGAGTGTGAGCAAAGTAACATTTATGAAGGGGTTCAGGGAAACTGGCAGGCCGGACTTGAGTCCTGGAGATGAGAAGTACAGTGCCTGCACTCTGAAGGAGGGGTGTTAATGTTGCAGTTTAAAAACTGTAGTGTAAAGCACCCTTCTGGCAAGACAGTGATGGAGTGAATGATGGTGAAAGTTTTTCTTTTTCGGGCCACCCTGCCTTGGTGGGAATCGGCCAGTGTGATAATAATAATAATAAAAAATTCATGACCCTACCACACACACGGTACAACTTTCTGACACTACCGTGTCACTATATATATATATATATATATGCTAAAATAATAAAATATAAGTAACATCTTTGTACATATATATAAATTCTACAATAATAAGTTGCAATTAATTCATCTCAGTAACACCCGCTAGCATCTTTCTTGTCAGAGGCCAGCCTGTCGACACTATTCAGTGTCACACTACAATCCTATCTTCTTCAGTGTCACACGACACCCTCGTCTTCTCAGTGTTCCACTATGATCCTATTATCTTACTTCAGTGTTACACTCCGTCATACTTCCGTCAGTGTCACACTACGATCCCAGCCCATTTCAGTGTCACACTCCAACCTTATCTTCATACAGTGCCACACTACAGCGTCAGCATGACTTGGCCCACAGTTGACTTGAGTCGGTGGTGAGTCCGTAGACATCACCAATTACTAAGTAAGAAGATCTCTTCTTGAAGAGAGGCCATTCCATTGACACACTACGACCCTATCTTGCTTCAGTGTCACACGACACTCTCATCTCTCAGTGTTCCACTACGATCCTATTATCTTACTTCAGTGTTACACTCCGTCATACTTCCGTCAGTGTCACACTACGGTCCCAGCCCATTTCAGTGTCACACGGGAACAGGCCATATGTATACTGTGACAGTCAAGTGAATACTCTCTAAGGCCAGTAGATGTACACCATAAGGTGGTCTGGTGAGTACTGTCTACTGCCTCTAAGACCAGTTGATATACACCGTAAGGTGGTCTGGTGAATACTGCTTGCAGAACACACTATATTGCGAGTTCACTGAATGCGGCCGTCAAGTAACTGAGGTCATCAGACTCAGTGAGCTGCGGTGAGCGCTTCTTCTAAAGCCAGCAGAAGCCAGTAGATATATACCATAAGATGGTCAGACGAATACTCTCTACTGCCAGTAGATGTATACCGTAAGGTGTTCTGGTAAATACTGCTTCTAAGGCCGGCTCAGCAGTCCCCACATGGGGTTTGATGACGTACCCTTGGTACTGCCGGCCGGCAGGTTAACAATTTAACCGCTAGTTTGGCAGGAGGCTGCCATAATGCACCTCTATCCGAGGTTTATATATTAGCACTTTCCAGGAACCTAATCTCTCTGAATCATTAAGTTTAACTGCATTTATCTTAAAAGATATTGTTTATGTTATTACATATATGACAACAATTGGGAGCTTAAAAAATTATCAGTAATGTATATAATGCATTATGCACTGAAGACAGGGCACTTTCTGTAACACTTTACAAAAGTCATCAGGCAAAATACTTTTAGCAGTTCAACTGCCAAATAGCACTGTCCATTATAATATTCCAAGTCTGTCAATACCAAATATTAGCTGGCATCCCAACTTAAAATATGTCATACATTGTCTGTGAAACATTATGAATCAGATAATCAGTTGGAGCTAGCATTGTACATCTATCTTATGTTGGTTACAAACAAAGAAGGCTTACTCCTACATAATTTCTCTGAAACCACATGAGTGGAGAAATTTTAAAATGCACTGACAAGTTTCATGAAGGAATGTGAAACTAAATGGGAGTACAGATATCAGTAGTTGATGTATATACTATACTGAAGGAGCTATAGTAATGAATGGAAAAACTACTGGAGTAGTACTAGAGCTATGGTCAGTGAGTATGACCCATGGGTTCTGCCTCGGAGCAACAGCTGCCTCATGAATTCTTGCCCTCCCCAACCTCAGGAAACTGATCTGAAGTAACTAGGGAAGAGAGAAGTGTAGAGGAGAGAGAGAGATTTTGGGAAATGTTGAGTGAATGCATGGGGAGTTTTGAACTAAGTGTGAGAGTACTTGTGGCTGGGGATTTCAATGCTGAAGTAGGTAAAAATGTTGTGGAGGGAGTAGTAGGTAAATTTGGGGTGCCAGGGGTAAATGAAAATGGGGAGCCTTTAATTGAGCTATGTGTAGAAAGAGGTTTGGTAATAAGTAATACATATTTTATGAAAAAAGAGGATAAATAAATATACAAGGTATGATATAGCACGTAATAAAGGTAGTTTATTAGATTATATATTGGTGGATAAAAGGTTTATGGGTAGGCTCCAGGATGTACACGTTTATAGAGGGGCAGCTGATATATCAGATCATTATTTAGTTGTAGCTACAGTTAGAGTATGAGGTAGATGGGACAAGAGGAAAATGACAACAGCAAGTAAGAGGGAGGTGAAAGCGTATAAACTAAGGGAGGAGGAAGTTCGGGTGAGATATAAGCAACTATTGGCAGAAAGGTGGGCTTGTGCAAGTATGAGTAGTGGAGGGGTTGAAGAGGTTTAGAATAGTTTTAAAAATGCAGTATTAGAGTGTGGGGCAGAAGTTTGTGGTTATAGGAGGGTGGGTGCAGGAGGAAAGGAGTAATTGGTGTGATAAAAGAGAAAAAGGTAGCTTATGAGAGGTGTTTACAGAGCAAGTGTTATACGAAGAGCAAAGTATATGGAGAGTAAAAGAAAGGCGAAGAGAGTGGTGAGAGAGTGCAAAAGGAGAGCAGAAGATAGAGTGGGAGAGGCACTGTCAAGAAATTTTAATGAAAATAAGAAAAAATTTTGGAGTTAAACATGTTAAGAAAGCCTAGGGAACAAATGGATATGTCAGTTAAAAACAGTAAGGGAGTTAGTAGATGGGGAGATGGAGGTACCTGGTAGATGGCGAGAATATTTTGAGGAACTTTTAAATGTCGACGAAGAAAGGGAGGCAGTAATTTCATGCACTCACCAGGAAGGTATACCATCTTGTAGGAGTGAAGAAGAGCAGGATGTGTGTGTGGGGGAGGTGCGTGAGGCATTACGTAGAATGAAAGGGGGTAAAGCAGCTGGAACTGACGGGATCATGACAGAAATGTTAAAAGCAGGGGGGGATATAGTGTTGGGGTGGTTGGTATTTTTGTTTAATAAATGTATTAAAGAGGGGAAGGTACCTAGGGATTGGCAGAGAGCATGTATAGTCCCTTTATATAAAGGGAAGGGGGACAAACGAGATTGTAAAAATTATAGAGGAATGAGCTTACTGAGTACAGTGGACCCTTGCCTTATGATCAGCTCCCAACTCGACCAATTATGTAAGTGT